GAGGGAGGGCGGGGAGGGACCGGGCTTCGCGGGGGGTGGGAGGGGCCTGGACTCGGGCCGGAGGCTTTCACTCTCCAAAGGCGGACGGCCGGCTAGCGGATCTAAAAGACTTGTAAGACTGCAAACGTATTCGTTTCTTTTAAAACTCGGGTATTTCTAATACAAAATTTGTTTCTTCTTTAAATAGCCTTTCACTGATAAGCAAAGTACGTGTTTAATTGGTTTTCGTTAAAATTTGCTAGCAGACAAAGTTCACAGAGCACTATTCCAAGGAGAAGAAAAAAAGGACAACTGTCCACAGAGTTCAAATAAAAATGAAAATATCCGGTATTGCCATGGGAAGTTAAAGAAAACTTTTACCTAGGTTTAGTCGTGCTGAAACTAGATGGCATTGCTGACGTTTTGGAACCCCGTCCATAAATAGTCACAAAGTTAAGTACTAACTTGGGGTCGGGGGAGCCTCTTGAGATAAAAAGAAATCTCAGAAAGTTGCTAGAAACCTCTTGTTTTAAGATGTGGAGAAACAGTGATGAACAAAACCATTTACATAAAACCAATATTTAGCAATTTTACACATTACTGCAAAATATAACACTGGACTTCAAAGCAAAATTTGAACACCTAAGAATAAACCAGTAAGACCCAAATTGCTATCCTGTAAGAGTTTAGGAAACTTTAGGTATAGTGAGCTAGAATATACAAGATTACCAATGTGATGTTTTAAAACTGCATTCAAACTCCTGGGTTAATTGGCATTATAGAATGACTGAATTACAGAATAAAAAGGGTTTGGTATCACTTTGTCTTAGTCCTTTTGTTGAATAAATGTCATTTTTACCATTAAGATCCTCAGTTTGATTTCACAATTATATTATGAAGAAATCATTTCTGGAAAGCTGATTAACATGATAAATAGGGTAATGATAATACATTTGGCCGTGATTAAAATTCTGCATACATTTTAGAGAGAGCATTTTACAAGAATGTTAAGTTTTAAACAAAAGCTTATTTCATGCAGTTACAACAAGTTTAGGCCAAGCACTTAAAAAAAGGCAAATATATTTTCAAATTAAATACTAAACCAGAGAAGGTTTCCATTATGAAAAAAGGCTGATAGTCTCAAGTACTGACAGAAATTAACTCCACTACAGTAAATTGTAAATTCAAAATTGAAACCCTTTTGTTACACTGAAATTGTCAAAAATTTTTGCATAAAATAATCTTGAGACTTAAATATTTTCATTTTATGGTATTTGTTGATGATATACCCAATAAGAAATTTCTATGAAATTAAAGTGTAAACATGGGACTGGAAGTATAGTTTCATTTTTAATCAAAAATCAAACCCCATGCACCTAAAAATATCATTTATTAGGAATTCTCACCTGTGCTAGTAACATACTGGTATCAGAATTTCAGATGAACATACACTGTAAGCAGAGCAAAGGACACGAACTATAATAGGGTAGAAGTATTCTGACTTACGCTAAGAAAAAGAAAAGAAAAAAGCCTTTTTTTAAGCAGACATGCAACCACAAATTTTTCAAGTAATCTAGACACTTGGCCAATCTGTGTAACAGAACAAAGTGCATTACATTAGTCTTTTAATGAAAAAGGAAGAGAGACCTTTAAGTTTCCACATTTTACTTTTTCAGATTTACACATGCAAATCATATACTAATATTCACAGATATTTTTAAATGGGAAAACAACTTCTAACAATTCAGTTTTCCAATAGTATGTTCTATGTGTTCATTTAATCTGGTGATTTTAATTTCAACAAATACCTATTGACAACAAATTAAACTTCATTGCAAAGAAATTCTCTATAGTATCAAGACCAGATTTTCTAATCCTCCTGAAGGCCACAATGAAATAGCCCAGACATACTGCCACTAAAGTTTGTTGTGATGAGATTGTAATAAATTTGCTCAAAGTGTTCAAAAGGTCTAACTTTTAAGGTGCTATAGAGAAACTAAGAGGATGTCACTGTATCTAAAAATATGACTATTTTGATCTTAATCTATACTTTGTATTTTCTAACTGATTAAAACTAAGACCTGCCTCATAACGAGGCACATTTTGGCATCTCTGTAAATGCTGCTACCCGAAAATAAAAGTGAAGAGATGACATTGTGATAGTTACATTCATGGCTTTCATAGAAAAATATAGATTCCCTGAATTAGTCATATCAAGTGGTCATCATTCAATATGAATTCTAATATAAACAAAATAAGACATTTATGGATTTCCTCTATTTCCAGCACTACTTCAGAACTCGATTATTAAAATCCCTATCGTGGAACCCCCAGTTCTTAGTTTAAATTGCTTTGACTCGGGCTGTGAATTGTAGGGACTGTCTTGCTAAAGTATTTGCTTCATTCAAAAGTCAAATAGGCTCGATGACTTCTTGAAATGTGCCTGATTTTTTATTTTAATGACACTACAGTGTCATCATTAGGGTTTATACTCTAATGCAGAACTCTTAAAATTAGCAGGTTGGATTTTGAATTTTTTCACTCCTTTAGGTTTTTGCTATAGATCCTGTACACTTCCATTACAGGTGGCCCTCTGTATCCAAGGTTTCCACATCTGGGGACTTAACCACAAGTCAAGAGTACTGTGTTGGCGGGGGAAGTCACATTTTTGCCGACGTGTACTATGTAGTTATGCTGAACGTAGAGACTTTTTTGTCATTAGTCCCTAAACAACACAGTATAACTATTTACATGGCATCTACATAGTATTAGGTATTCTAAGTAATGTAGAGATGATTCAAAGTACATGGATGTGCGTAGGTTTATATGCAAATACTACACCGTTTTATAGAAGGGACTTGAGCATCTGCAGATTTTGGGGGGTCCTGTAACCAACCCCACCCCTAGGACATGGAAAGACACCTGTATTTTTCTTCCTCCAAGGAATCAAGAAATTTCTCCAAGGCTCTTCCTTTCTGAAAAGGAGTAAACTTATGAGAGGCCATTAGTCTTTTCATTCCACTCTCCAAATACAGGCTTCACAAATCTATTTCCTCCTCAGAATTCTTTGTAGTGTCTGCACAAAAGCTCACTGGGAGGAAGCCTTCCTAGGACCCACTGTGACTCTCTGGGTTATGGCTTTCAGAAAATTTCTTGAAAGGTGACAAGGGATTACCTTTAGAGCTAGGAGCAGAATGCAACTGCCAGGTCCCTTTTGGCCCCTGGTTGTTTTCAATTCCACTTCTACGTTTTCATAGTCACTACTGTGCTTTTTCTTTCCAGGATCTGATCTAAAACAAGCATTTTGCTATAATATCTTCTAGCTCTTTTCACTTTCAGAATGTATACTTGTATCATCCTCTTTATAAAAAACATTCAGTAATTTTTTCTTAGCCGCAGCAGAAGCATTTCGATGGGGCAGTTTTCTGCTACTCTTCCTAATCCAGACATTTTCTGGTCCTGAAACCGTTTCCTTTAGATTACTCATTATCTTTATTTTATTTGCAGCAACAGTAGCACATCTGCGGGGAACTTTCTCAGGCACCATTTTTGCTTTCAGAGTGTCACTAGGCATTTGCACTGCATCCTCCTGATTATGCAAACATGTTCTCATTTTTGTATTGGGTTCTCTGTCTCTAGGAACAGATTCTGAAAAATGAGTGAAAGTTCATGTAAATGCAAAAATGTTAGATTTTACTACTTCCATTCCTCAACAATACATTCCTAAATTGTAAAACTACTCACATTGCTAAATAAATAAAAACATAAGCGATTATCACTACTATGCGTTTTTGACACTGACATAACCTTGCATTTATCTACAAAGGAAGTCTCAAATAGGAGCTCAGGTCCCTCAATCTGGCACAATTTATATAATCTGTAAAGATAATTGGTCAGGTGTAACAGTAGCAGATTTGTAAGGAGGGGGTTAAGTACTTTCAGCATCATAAAGCCGTTAATCTAAAATCTGAATTTTCAAAATAGAACCATATATAGGTTTTAAGTTTTTGGCATCATTTCTAGTACTGTTGAACTGCTTTTAAATATTCACTGGGAGTTCTGCGATAACTTTCCTAGAACCTAAACAAGGAGGAAATGCCATCGTGACATGACACAGCATCAGTTCTACTTCAAGATCCTTGTTAAGGGTTTAACTCGAATACCAGTATTTCCTTTGGTTAAGAAAAAACATTAAATTGGCAACTAGTAGATAAAAAGGAATTATTGGTTTTATAGAACTGAAATGCGGTTTTAATCCTAGATTCATTTTCCCCCGAATATTTGAGCATTTTATATAAGTGGAATTGTTAAATCCTAGTTCCATTACTCAAATATTTTCTGAGTTAGGTATGTGCCAGGCACACCGAGGACCAGGATAAAGATGGAAAAACAAGCTAAACCGACACGCACAAGCATAGTCGCTGTAAAGGACTAGGACGTGCTGAGTGCTATGAAAACATCCTCTAGAAACCAAACCTTCACTAAGGGGCAAGGAAGGCTTCCTTTAAGGAAGTGTCCTTGCAGCCAGGAGCAGGAAAGTGAAGGGATCCACCAGACAAAAGGCAGGACAGAGAGCAAGTGCTCCAGACAGGCTGAGGTGACCCATCCCCCTGGAGCTGTGCTGAGGGGCCACCTGACGGTGGGCCTACTACTTACTCCACGTTTACCAGTTTCGGTGGGCCCAAAGCCAGATTTCCCAATTTCAAACACAGGATCAATTAGTACTCTTCTAGGATGATAAAAATGCATGTGAAGTTCATTAGCCCTTGAATGTTAGGCCTTCTCTCTTGGCAATCTAGCCTTGAAGTCATTAAGAACAACTCTTGCTGGGGATGAGTGTATAGGTCCCCGCCTCAAGTTCCCAGAGATTCAGCAGCCCATAAGGACAGGTGGTAGATCAAGAAATAATCACACTCGGCATCTGGAGAACTCACTCCTGCCTTTTCACTACCAAGGACTAGCAAATAAGGGTTGGGCCCAGCTGGTGTGGCTCATTGACCTAGGATCCAGGAGATCAAGGTTCGATTCCCGGTCGGGGCACATGCCCAGGTTTCGGGCTCGGTCCCCAGTAGGGGTTGTGCAGGAGGCAGCCGATCAGTGACCCATCATTGATGTTTCTCTCTCTGCCTCTCTCTCTGAAATCAATTAAAAAATTAAAAAAAGGGTTAGACTAGAAAATGCGGGTTGGGGGGTTTGTCAGCTCTCAAGCATCATTCTCTAGCAGTCAAAGTAACCAACAACCAACCTTCTTAGCTTTTCCTTCTGTGAATGGAGATGAGATGTCTGCCCTCGCGTCACCAGAGACAAATGAGTATAGGTGAAAGTGGCTTCTCAGGATTGACAAGTTCAACAACAGAGCGAGAATTCTGAGGCAAGCCCTCCAGGTTTTACCTTGTCGGTGAAACTCATTTCAAAGACGTGCCTGTGCCTCCTCCAAGACCATGCCTCCTTCCCACATAGGTTAGGAACTACTTCACTAAAGCCCCCACAAATGCATTAGTTCCTTTTGCCAATTATGGTTCACATGCCTTTCCAGTGAAATGCTATTGCTAAAGATTCGACGTTTGGTTCAATGTAAGTCACCAGACATTGCAAAAATGGCATTTTGGCAGACCACACTGAACATCATAGTGCCCCATGCAACATACCCACCCCTTTATTTGGGCTCTGTGGAGTCATGCATATGAATTTGGGGGAGTGAAATGGAAAGTGGCTTAAAGTGCAGTGTTACCACTTCAGATAATTTCTTAGGAATTTTTAAATTGTGAACATTAGTCTCTGCAAAACAACCCTAGGTCCAAAGCCAAATCTTTATTTAGCACATTAAGTCAGTGGTGGGCAAAAGTAGGTTTATAGCTGTGAGTCCACAAAAGTTTATTCTTCAATTATTTATTATTGCATTATTTGCATTATAACTATAAACCTCCTTTTGCCAACCCCTGTATATTAACATGCTACAACAGATAAATGAAATAGTTAAAACTATATAGCAAAATTAAGGTGAAATTTGTACTTATGGTAGGTTAAGGATATACTAGTATCACTCAACTGCTGCTATCTGCATGTTGAAAAGGCATTAAAAATAGACAACTGGCCTGGCCAGTGTGGCTAAATGGTTGAGCATCTACCCATGAACCAGGAGATCAGGGTTTGAATTCAGATTAGGGCACATGCCCAGGTTGGGGCTCCATCCCTAGTAGAGGGTGTGCAGGAGGCAGTCGATCAATGACTGTCATCATTGATGTTTCTCTCTCCCTCTCCCTCCCTCTCTTGAAATCAATAAAAACATATATATAAATTTTTTAAAAAAGACAACTGGTCATTCCCAATACATACCCAGTTGACTACCATAGATAAAATCCTATTACAACTAAAAAGTTTTGTGGGACAAAATGATTTAAGTTGCAGCAGTTAATTCCTTTGTGATGTAGTGACGCAAGTTCCCTATACTGACTATTTAGGAACCTAGCAAATACGAACTCTAGGGCATTTTAATAAATGCTCATTTGTACTCCAAAATAATGTGAAAGTTAAGATTCTACAGAATAAACTGTGAGTAGGCTTTAAAAAACACTTGAAGGAAACCTGAACTTCAAGTAAATACCTACGTCCCAGAGTAAAGAACATGGGAACAAATCGTACAGCAACTCAACTTGATAAAGCTGTATCTCTAAAGTCTTTTAACATAAAATGGGAATTTCATCAAGATAAAAACAATCTGAGGAAGAAGAGTGACTTGTATGGAATACAAATAAAAATAATACATACGTGTAAGTCAGTATTAATTTTATTACTGAGAACTTGGTAAATTATAAAGTGCTTTATTCTCCTTGGAAGGCTACAAACAGTTTTTAGAAATATATACAGGATAATTCAGTTAGAGAAGTCCAATTTATATGTTAGTGTACAAGCTTAAAAATTTTGGAGGGTGCTACTCTAACAATACATCTGTGATAGTGTCATTTAATACTAATAAGACAGTACAGCTCAGAGTCCTGGTGTCCCAGATGGTCTTGGGTCAGTCACATGTTGGGAAGTCACTGAGTGCTTGAGGCACTGTTGCTCGCCTATAAATGAATCCCTATTTGGATATGGCAAAAACCTCTTTAGTAGAATGAAAATTTACATCTGTAGTAGTACTTGGTCAGGTTACCTAAATGACCACTTTAAATCATAAGTCAGGTCACTGTGTATTCTAAGATGGTCTGTAGTGAAGAGAAATGGATTGCTTTGATTAAAAGCAGTAATTTCGTTTCTATATTTTAAGAATTATTCATATTCCAATTATACTTTATTCCAATTACACTTCTTGATACAAAATTGTTTTCCTAAATCCAAGGTAAACTAACATCATTGCTGCAGAAGCACATAGAATTTTAATTTGATCAGCATTTTAATTGGAATATTAAAAACAAATTTGAGAATGGAAAAAGAATGCCTGAATCAAAAATGAAAACCATATACTAGCCTATTTCATATACTTTTCAAATACTGACATTACTGATTTGTGTGGTTGGTAGATAAATCAAGTCCATACAGAGGGAAAACCTGTTAGTTGCAAACCATAACCTTTCAAACAAGCCTTTATCAAAGCTGGTGTGGGATGTCCTTTCTTTATTGCCTTTCAAAATGACCAAAACTCGGGAAGTAAATAGCATTTAACACTGAAATATCCGGCCCCCTCTAAAACATACATTTCCAAAAGTATTCCCATAAACTGAAAAGTCTCTCTAGAGAATGACTGTTAAGTGTTTTCTGTAACTCTGTGTTTAACATTTTATAATTATTCCCCTAGGGGAGTTGGTAACACTGAGAAGTCAACTCCTATAGCATGGGAGTGTCAGGTCAGGAGACAGAAATAATTCCATAATCGAGCTCTCCACTAGGCTGGTCGCTTTTATGGCTGAACAGATGTACTTATGTTCACCTATGAAGTCAGTCTTCACTACATCCAATGAGGATAGCACAGAACCTTGTTTTGTTTTGCACCTACAGCTCTTCTACAGCTTTCTCTCATCCCTAGAAAAGTTAATTGGTAGCATTCTTATGATTCTCACAAGCTTTGTGATGTATGCTGCTCAATTTTTTCTAAAATTCTGATGAAAGTTCTATGAAGTATGAAAGGGAACTGATACTTTATCTGTTTAATGAACTTAAGAGAGAGAGCATTTCAAACTAATGTAGGAAGGACAAGGTATCAGAAGTAACTACCGAGTTTCCAATCAACTTTATTTCTTCACTAATGAAAAGCAGCACGGTGACAGACAACCCAAGGACAACCCCTGTTCAAGCACATCTCATGACTCCCTTCAGTGCCCTGGCTCAACCGACTTGTAGCGCTGCATTCTGCCCACATGAAAAATCACAAATGCATAGAGGTTTGGAAGCTGCTTAAAACAAGAGGTAAAGATGAGCTGCAAGGAAAAATGACCCCATATTGCAGACCTTACTGAATTAATCAGCCAGGAGGCTTGAAGTAGTTTAAAAAAGAAAAAAAAAAAAACATCCTTAAATGTATTATACTCTTACTCTTTTAGTTAGTAACTGACTAAAAAGCTGGTTCCTAGATGAAAATGCTAAAACCCAGATGTGCTGATAATTTAGAAAGTTAAAGTAAGTATCCTGTGTGGGAGTGGAAAATTGAAAGATTTGCCTCTTTGACAGGCTCCAGTAAAATGGTGAGAATTTTACAGGTGAGCTGAAGTGTACAGTCCAAGGACGAAATATGGATCAACACTTAGTTAACTTCAATATATTAACAAAGACTCCGTTAACATTTAACCACTGATTCTGAAAAGGGTAATTATTTCAAAATATTTTCCCTGTGGATCCAACAGCAAGTAGGGCTAGCTGCTGCGGTCAAGTCTGTAGTTGGTCATCTCATTTCAGTTAGGTCAGAATACCTCTTTCTCTTTACCAGTCCAAATTCCCATTAAGTGTTTTAATAAATGATAAGACTTACCTGAATTTAACTTCAAAACTAAAGTATGACCAGAAAACATGTTGTAACACTGGCAAGTATATTGAATGAAACTATTAGTCTTGACAAATAGATATATAGTCTATAACATGCTGCCAAACCCAAGAGCCTACGGATTTGTAGGACCCAAATGTTGTGACTGCCCTGCTCCCTCTCAGCCTCCCTCCACCTAATCTCTAAGAGCAATCCTTGAGAGGACAACCAGTAAGAGACTAGACATTTTCCTACCACATTAGCAGTATGTTAGGAACAAACTTGGCAGACTGAGTGACTGGTAAAAATCCCCCTGAACTTTGAAAATTCTCATGTATCCTTAGGCAACACCTGTAATTTAAGAAAATAGCTGTAAAAATACTCTTTAAATGTGAGGAGAGAGAACACAGCCCTCATCATTATACTCTGTATACTTCACTCCTTTCCATTAATTCACAATTGAGCTACAAGCAGGATTAGCATTTACTAACCTAGTTGGACTATATTTTTCCACAATGCCCCACGTTCTCCCTAGCTTTGACCAATTTATTTAGTTTGGTCTTTCTGTTCCCAAATATTAGAATAAGAGACAGTCTTTAAACTGTTAAGTTGCAAATTTCTTAGGCTTTCTGCTTTATTATTCCCTGATATCCACTGCAGAAGTGTGAGGTATACTTAATTAACAGACAAAAATTTCTTCTACAATGAAGGTGCTTTGTTGCACCCCATCATATTAGAACTGAGCTATAATTTCCATGCACTGTAAGTAAACTAAAATATTTGGTGACAGCTACAAGATACCTGACAAAGTAAATGTGTTGACTTGGTATCAGTGAAAAAAATGGGGCTGGTATTTCAGCGTTAGTAAAGGACAAGACAAAAAGACCTTATCTGGCCATTTAAAAGTTATTCTAAAAATCAATACTTTTGAGTAGAAAGGAAAACCAAAAATACTAGATGCACCTTTAATGGTGTTCATGTGTTCTGATATACAAACCCCTCGTTTTGTTCAGGTAGTACAATCAAATTCAATTTGTACTTACAGAAGATATTAAAATCCTTTCATCTTAGTTTTTAATACTATACAGTGAGGTTAAGAAATTTTGTGTTCTAACTATTCTAAAGGAAAAAAAACTAGAAGAGGGACAGGGAATGTAGTATGGATCCAATGTTATTCTAAATAAGAATTTTTACTGAAGACATCATCAACCAATGGAGTGGGAAGGATTTGGTGACGTGTATTATATTGTTTTTGGACAGCAGTACCCTCAGATGGTATTTTTTTGGTTTATGTCTCCTTTTTCCATTTTCACTTCTAGGTTTTGACGTGAATTTTCCTAAAACATAAGTTCTTTCCTCCCATTTCCTTATTATAAAACTAATTTCCTTTTTTAGGTACAACTCTCTACTATTTAAAAGAAACTTTTGTGTTTTGATTTAGAAGCTGTTAACTGCTTTATCCTTTGCTAAGAATTACTAAATTGAGAAAGCATTTAACCAAAGATTTTCCCCTAAAATAAAAAAAGGGAGCATGACCACCCTAGGGATTACCTAGGGATAAACTTTCCCTTTTACTCAGAAGTTACTGCGCATTGTCAGTATACCCTTTTAAAATAAGTAGGATATGAAAAAAAAATGCTTTAAAGATCTCACCTATTTTTAAATGTTTGAAACCTTTTTTTCTTAATATGCTTAGTAAAATTAGTCTTTCAAATAAAGCAAAAATCAAATCTAAATACCTCAAACCTTTTTGTTTAAATCATAAATGAATAAAATCAGAGGACTCTGGACATACACAACCACAGTAGTCTTTTTTTCCCCATATACCATTAAGTTACTTCAAGTGCAATGGAAAGCTGTAGCCCTTCTGGATCAGTTCACATTCAGTTTGTAACCTTTTATCTTCTCTCACAAGAAAAATACAAACTGATCCCAAACATATTAAAGTACATCTGTGCATTAAATCTCTGTGCATTTTCCCATAAAGAGAAGCAGGAAAAAAAGGTCAAACGTTCTAAGTGCTCAATGTAAACATTTTAAACTATTAGTTATTTATTAATTTTCCTTAAAGGTATTTAGGAGTGTGTGTCACATGTTCAAAGTTAACCTTAGAATAGCACCATGACCAAAAAAAGACCATAAAAATGATTCTCCCTATAATCCTTTAGTTTTACTTTAGAACTTGAGACGCTACCATTGTCAATCATGCCTTCAAAGTTACCAGGCCAATTCTTTTTTCTTTCCAGATGAAACCAGAGTACTTCTTATATAAACAAGGGTTTAACAATTTTGGACAAAATGAAAAACTAGTAATTAGTTGACCAGCCAAACAATGACCAGTTAATTCAGTGTAAAAGATACGAATAGTTCTATTGATGGAGCCTAAATGGTCAAAGTATCATTTTACCAAAAGAACTTACGTGTTTATGAATGTATTCCATATTTATTTATGGATTTTTGGTACCTTTTTGCAAATGATGGTAAACATGGAGTTATAACCCTGAGAATAGATTTAAAACGGAGAAGCTTAGAGAAGTTTAAATAAATTAATGGATGTGACATCTATCACCACTTCTTAAAATTAGGGAAGTAAAGAGCATTCCATTAATTTTTTCAGGTCAAGAGTGAAAGACAATTATCCTGCATCACACTATTACACACTGAATATGAGCTTTGAGGAGAGTCTCATAGTTTTGAAGCAGTGATAGCTCTCTAAACAACCAAAGGAGAGGCAGGTATCCCACCTATCTCAGCTGGTACTGTCCAAAAAAGAATAGGTAACTACACAAAGTAACAACACTTAAGAACATTCTCTAACACTAATAATACCAGAGTCTGGTGCTTTTCCATATCTGCCACTTTAAGGATACATAGGAGAAAAAGGTTAATTTTGTCTGAAACCAAATAGGGCCAATAAACAGTAAGGGTGGGAGTATTGTTGCATACCCCTTTGCTACAAAATATGTAAACCATTTGAATCAAGTCCATCTTCAGGCACAAACAAGCTAGGAATGGCCACCTACACTGTTGGGAGTAGCACAACCTATCAAGTAAAAATATTTGGCTCGAAAAAAAAAGTGTACTATGCTATTTGATGATGTGATAAAAGTTTCATGTCAAATGGATTCCAAAATTATTTTCTGACAAAACATGACTTTCTTAGATTTAAACCAGAGGTCACTAATAAAGATACACTTAGTTGCCCCAGCAAAGACTGCTTGAGATTTGCCCATGGCAGCAGTAAGCTAAAACAGAAATGGAGAATAGCATTTAACTAGTTTCCTACATAGACGAGATTTGCAATTGCACACTTAACAAAACTCAACCCTGTGATTTCAACAGAAAAGGGGGGAACTACATATAATTTAAATACTGTCTTAGTCCTGTACACTCTATTAAAGAACAAACTTTTCCTAAATCTAAGGCACACAAACTCCTCTATTTCACAGAGTAAGACTAAGGAAGACCAAGAGTTTGGTTAACTCTCTCACATGGAAACCAAGAGATCATGGAAAGAAAATTATATAGCATTTTGTTAGTGCACAATTTAAAAGAAAATGCTAGGACTATGGTCTGGCCTTAGAGGTTTGAAATATACAATCAAAACATTAAAAAAAATAATTTACCAGCACTTTATAAATTCAAGTTTATAAAATAAAATATTTTCCTTTAAAATAAAAATAAAAAAGAGAGAAAGATTCAACAGCATTTGGAAAGAAAACTGGAAACCATGTCAATGAAAATAACCAAATCTGGTATAATGCATTCTACTCAAGTAGCCAGGGAAAGAAAAAAAAAAAAGTGGTAGGTACCTTGCCTACTACTAATCATGGTAACACTTCCCATGATTGTAATGTCGGTATGCACATAATATTTATGAAAAATCTGTAAACATAGGTCACGTGAAATTGTTGTACTACAATAGGACATGGGTTAGAAACTACCACCTCTTGACAAATTCAGAAAATATCTGCATGGCACTTGCTATCATGAAAGTAATGCTCATTAGTTTTGATAACCAGGATGTCTAGTGTTTAACATATTTCAAGCTCTTGTTATATGTAGTTAAATACTGTTTAAGTAGATCTGCCCCCAAAATGAAGCATATTTTGGCACCTGTGCTGAATGCTGCTACAAAGGCAAGCAAGTGCAAATAAAAATAACAGTCATGATTTAGTCACATTCATAACTTTTCATAGAAAAATATAAATATATTCCCTGAATTGTAGGACAAAAAAATAATTTCAACAGCCAGGTTTCACCATAAATTCCAGTCCATTTCCTCTTTAAATGAACTGGTTTTCCCTCAAGGTCATAAGGTGCAATCATCGAAACCTAACACATTTTCTAAGTTTCTATCATCATCCCCATCGTGGTACCTCACGGTCCTTCTACCCTGATTTCGCGTTTTTATTTTGGAACGTCGAAGGACCCGCTTAGACTCCGCATAGTCCAAATCCTCCCAGTCATTATCCTCCGCATTTAACCTAGGGCGCTTGCTCTGTCTTTGTCGCCTCACAGTTTTAGATACATTAGCCATAAAAGTTTTACCTTTTCTAACTACTTTTGCTTTTCCTTTCGTTTTCCTCTTTTTGGTTTTTGTCTCATCAGCACAGTCAACATCTGATTCAGTTACGGATCCCAACTCTGAATCAGATTTGGGACTAGGGTCAGGTCCACATTCTGAATTCCCTGTTGTTTCTGAAGTTTCCACATTTCCCAATTTAGGATGCAGTCTCTTCCTTCGTATTTCCGTCTTAGCTGCTTCCTGTGAGTCTTGAATCACTTTTGTCTTACTGAAAGGAGCCTTCCCATAGGTCCTGAGTCTTCTGCCATTCCACCTGCGCAGCCCATAATTCAGTTCCTCTTCAAAGTTAGTCTCTGCAGTGGCTTTTTGCTCCAAAGTTGATTCAGAAGAAAATTTTCTACCAATCTCACCCCCAGGAATATGGCTTTTTGACTCTTCGTCTGAAGACCCAATCAATGAGTTCTTTGTTCTAGAAGGTGCAACATTTGTTTTGTGATTATTGGCATGCCTGGTAGGCCTGTTTTGTTCTGAATTTGACATACCTTCAGAGTCTGAGTCTCCATTTAAAGACTGATGAATGCTTTTTGTACTACCTTCTGAGTCAGCTTCAGGTGGCTCCTCGTCACAGGCATCCTGTTCATTTGGCACTTCACAGTTTACATCTCCCTCGGAATCACTCACTATCTTAGCTGTGGTACACGCAAAACGGAGGGGCTTTTTCCTTCCCCTTTTGCTTCTAGTACACACACTTTCTAAAGTAACATCTTCCACATCACTCATGAGCTTAATCTTACTGGCAGCGGTGGTTGCACATCTTCGAGGAATCCTTAGGAGACCCGTTTTGGCTTTGGAGGGTTTCTTAACCACCTTTGAATTGCTGTCTGAGTCACTAGAACAGACCCTTTTCCTGGAAACTTTCCTGCTTTGTCCATGGTCTTGTGATGTAGAATCTAAAAATTAAAGAGTATTCCTTTAATCTTTAATAGAACATTTAAACAACTTCAGTCCAGAATTCTTCATTCTTATTAACTTGTAAGGATGGCAGTGAGTGGGATGGGAGCAATGACTTGTTGGCCTCAGCACCATTCACAAGTACAATATATTCCCATCAGCAAAATCCCATACCTGTCTAGCTATGTACACAAAACACTTGACACTAAAACATTTTACTTACATGAATACAGACTAAACTCTTTTATCACTACACTAAGGTATGCAAACTAATAGCTTACTCTCAGCCTCCCTGAAACTCTTAACTTTACAAGTTCCTATCACACCAACAATTTTTCATCTTAGCTTTAGCTGCCTCCTGCTTTTAATAATTCTTCATCAATCCCACTTACCAGTACAATCTTAATTCGGCAACTTATCTCACCTCTCTGTGCTCGACTCATCAGTAAAATTGAAAATAAAAGCAACAGTCCCTATCTCATAAAAGATATGAAGACGAAACTGATTAATAAACATAAAGCATTAAGCCCTGGCCAGGTGGCTCAGTTGGTTGGCATCCCTTATACCAAAAGGTTGCAGGTTCAATCCCAGGTCGGGGCACATATGGGAGGAAAACAATCGATGTTTCTCTCTCTCTGTTGTCCTTCCTCTCTCTAAAAAATAAAATAAAATAAAAACATATCCTAAAGTGAGGATTAGAAAACATAAAGCATTCAGAAAAAGTTCATGATACAAAGAACATCTCAGTAACTGTTCTGTTAGCTACTATGATTATTACCACATTCCTTTCAACCAGTTCTACCCTTTTCTTTCCTCCTCAAACTATCATCATGACAGTTTATAGATGTGGTTTCCTCTGTTTTGTTTTTTTAATATGTCTTTATTGACTTCAGAGAGAGGAAGGGGAAGAGAGAGAGCAACATCAATGATGAGTCATTGATAGGCTACCTCCTGCACACCCCCTGCTGGGGAGCGAGCCCGAAACCCGGGCATGTGCCGTGACCAGGAATAGAACAGTGATCTGGATCATAGGCTGATGCTTAACAGCTGAGCCACACCGGCCAGGTGCCTCTGCTTTTTCTAAACCCACTGCCAATACAATATCCCCATCACTAATACAGAAAGTGAAATATTTAATAAAAATAGTTGTTAAGGCCAAGACTGTCTGTTATGTGAATAAAATTACTCAACAGTTATGCACATACGTAGGAATAAAGGGATGCACAGAAAAGACTAATAGAGACTGCACAGGTGGAAAGAAAACAGCTGGCAAAGAGAAGTTCCATAGGAAAGAAAAACAATGTATGACATAAGGAAAGGACAGTAGGAATCAGTGAAATGTTTTCAATTACCTTTCGTAAAACTGTTTGGTGGTTTTTCCGTTTTGCCATCATCTGAATCCACATCTGTCTCGGACACATGATCTGAGAAACGGTGGGCCCCAGCAACAGGGTCACACTTCAGATTCCCTGGCATCAGGTTTGTTTCCGTTTTGTGACATCTACCTTCTTCTCTATCTTCAGATTCAGAGTCTTCTGAATCACTGAAGATCTTTGCTTTCTTAAGGAAAGTAGCGTTCTTGCGACCTGTGTTGTGTTTCCTACCCGCATATTTTCTTGGTTCAGAATCTGCTTCCTCCTCCCCCGAGATGCCTCCTGCCTTAAGTTTCTGCCCAGATGCTGATGGGCTACTAGTTCTGTTATGCCCATTATCTGAACCATGACTTTCCTCAGAAGACTCTATTTTCAGAAATTTTGTTTTAGAACTTGTGGTGGTGTGGGACTTGTAACCATTAGCATGCCAACTTTTCCGGACTACCTGCAAGTCACTTTCTGACTCTGAATCTCCATTTTCAGATTCATTGACAGTATTCTTGGCAGCATGAGAACTGGACACTGGTGATGGCTGATTCTCATCTTTCAGTTCCACTTCTTCAGTTTCTGACTTTAAGCTCTGATCATCTTCAGAATTATATAACAACTTTTTTCTAGCTACAGCAGAAGCATTGCGGTGAGGCAGCTTACGGCCAGAACAGACACTTTCAGAGCTAAAATTCTCCTCAGCATCGCTCATTAGCTTTATCTTATTGGCAGCCACAGCAGCACACTTTCGTAGCACTTTACGGTTATTTCCAGCTCGGGCTTTTAGACTTTCACCAGTCTCCAATGAATTGTTATCAGAGTCACTTAAATAGACTCTCTTTCGAGTGGCTTTTCTGCCACATCCATTTTCTAAAGGAACTGGACCTAGAAATAAAGTTAAGAGTAAGATTAGAAAGGCCTTCCTCGTCTCAACATTTTTTAAATGACTTCATTACTTTAGTTCCTTGTATTTTACTGCCAAAATAGATTTCCATTCTAAATCTAAAAGGCCTAAAAGATGGAACAGAATAGCCACCCCAGGAAAAACCCCACACATATATACTCAATTTACAAAAAAAGGAGACAAGAACACACCATGGGAAAAGGTCAGACTTCAATAAACAGTGCTGGGAAACTGAACAGCACATGCGAAAGAATGAAACTAGACTGCTATCCTAAACCTCGCACAACAATTAACTCAAAATAGGTTTAAGACTTGAATGTAAGTCCTGAAACCATAAAACTAGCTCCTTGACATTGGCCTTGGTGATGAATTTTTGACTCTGACATGAAAAGCAAAGGCAACAGAAGTAAAAATAAGTGGGACTAAATCATCAAACCAAAAGCTTCTGCACAGCAAAGGAAATCATAAACTCATACAATTCAATAGCAAACAAACAACTAAGAAACAAAAAAACAACGATTAAAAATGGGCAAAGGCCCTGGCCAGGTGGGCCCGCTGGTTGGAGCACTGTCCCATACACCAAAAGGTTGCAGGTTTGCTTCTGGGTCAGGGAACATACCTCAGTTGAAGATTCGATCCCTGGTAGGGCGAGTATGGGAGGCAATCATTTGATGTTTATCTCTCCCTTCTGTCTCTCTCAAACATACCCTTGGGTGAGGATTAAAAATTAAAAGGGAAAAAGGGCAGAGGAACCTGAATAGACTTTTTCCAAAGAGGACATACAGGTGGCCAACATGCACATGAAAAGATGCTCAACATCACTAATCATCAGGGAAATGCAAATCAAAACCACAACGAGGTATCACTTCACACCTGTTAGAATGGCTACTCTCAGAAAGACATTAACAAGTTTTGCCAACGATGTAAAGAAAAGGGAACCCTTGTGCACTGTTGGTAGGAATGTAAATCAGTGCAGCCTCTATGGCAAACAGTACAGAGGTTCCTCAAAAAATTAAAACTAGAACTACCATACGATCCAGCTATTCATTCCCCTTTTGGGTATTATCCAAAGAAAACAAAAACAATTCCAAAAAATCTATGCACCCCCATGTTCATTGCAGCATTACTTAAATTAACCAAGATACGAAAACAAGCAAAGCAAAGTGTCCATCAATAGATGAATGGAGCCCTGCCAAAGTAGCTCAGTTGTTTGAGTATCATCCTGTGCACCAAAAGGTTGCTGATCCGATTCCCAGTTGAGGGACATACCCGGCTTGAGAGTTAAATGCCCGGTTGGGGCATGTACAGAAGGCAACCGATCAATGTTTCTCTCACATTAATGTGTCTGTGTCTCTCTGT